ACCATTTTCCTCTGGCCTGAAGAACTTCGTGTAGTATTTTTTGGAAGGTCAAGTCTTCTGGTGACAAGATTTTTCAGCTTTTATTTGCCTGAAAATGTCTTTCATTACCCTGACTTTTTGAAGGACATTTTTGTTAGGTATTGACTTCTGGTCTCAATGACTTTTGTTTTACTTTCCGCATTTTATAGATGTCATTTCTTTGTCTTCTCACTTCCATTGCTTTTGACAAGAAGTCAGCTGTCGTTCTTACTGAAGTTTCCCTGAATGTAATGTATCTTTTTTTTTTTTTTTTTTGGCTCCTTTTAGGACTTTTATCTGTATCTTTGGTTTTCAGCAATTGGACTATGATATGCCTCCAAGTGTTTTTCTTTGAATTTGTCCTCTTTGGATTTGCTAAACTTTTTGGATCTGTGGGTTGGTGTATTTTCACCAATTTGTAAAATTCTTATACCTTCTCTCTTTCAATATTTCTTCTCCATCTTCTTTTCCTTTTGGGAATCCAGCTTTATGTACGTTAGACTATTTGATCTTGTCCCACAGGTTTCTAATATTCTTTTCTGTTATCTTTTTTCTCATTTTCATTTTTTTCTCTGTGTTTTGATTCAGACAATTTCTATCAATGTGACTTTGAGTTGAAAAATCCTCTCTTCAGCTGTGTCCAGTCTGGTGCTCAGCAAATTCAATGAGTTCTTCACTTTAGGTACTTTAGTTTTCCCTCTACCCCTGGTGTGCAGCCCTTACTCCTAGGGTGTGGCCTTTCTGGAGTCTCAACTGATTGCTTGGGCTGCACCAAGATCTCCTCCCTCTGCTCCAGCACCTCCCTGTCCTTTGAGGCCTCTGCAATCTCTGTCCAACTCTCATATAACACCTGCAGTCAGAAGAGGTTCAAAGAACAGTTAGGTTGCTACAATAAAAATTCCTCTAGTTCTGTTTATTTATGTGTATACATTTATGAAAAAATAGGGATAACAACTGATTCTGTACCCTGCTTCATTCTAGTAATTCTCATCAGTGGATATATGAACTAATTGTCAGGGGAAAAAGAGCCCCAGACATATTATTTAGAGATAGATATCCAATACAACTCAACATTTTAGTCTTAATCAAAACTTGCATATATTTATACTGCTTTGATCAATTATGTGTTAATAATAGTTGTAATACTAATTTAATCCAGGAAAAACATTAACATGAGACTTATGTTCACAGGAAATTGCAAATTAGATATATGTATGTATATATGTATGTCTCTCTCTTTCCAGGGATAAAAAATAGTCATCAGGGGCCAGCCCGGTGGCGCAAGCGGTTAAGTGCACGCATTCCACTGTGGCAGCCCAGAGTTCGCCGGTTCAGATCCCGAGCACACACCGACGCACCACTTGGCAAGTCATGCTGTGGCAGCGTCCCATATAAAGTGGAGGAAGATGAGGCACAGATGTTAGCCCAGGGCCAGTCTTCCTCAGCAAAAAAAGAGGAGGATTGGCAGATGTTAGCACAGGGCTGATCTTCCTCACACACACACAAAAAATAGTCATCAATAAGTTATGTTTAAGCATAAACACTTATTGTATTCAGAATAAAATTTGAGGGGGAATTTGAATGGAAATGAGTTTAGGAGAAAAGGATTTAATAAAACTCTTGATTGTTAACCTCGAGATTGTTTGTTTATAAAACATATGATAGTGGGTTTCAAATCACAATGGCATTAAGGGTCCATTTGATACATTTAAGGAATGATGCCATGACTTTAAGTCAATATTTATAGTATTTGGGAAGTTACATACATTGCACTTATTTAAACATGATGGAAAATTTGGCTATTATCTTAGAAGTGGGGGCTTACAAGTTTTCACAAAATTAGTTTATTGGGTACATATGTAAAAAGCTTTGAGGACAGTGCATCCAGCTACCCTTTTCTGTAGCCTGAGTCATTACATGAGACACAAATGGGCATCTCTGTTCTCCATTTTGTCCCACACAGCAAACAGGTTGATCTCTTTATTTATTTATTTTGTGAGGAAGATCAGCCCTGAGCTAAGATCCATGCTAATCCTCCCCTTTTTGCTGAGGAAGACCGGCCCTGAGCTAACATCTATTGCCAATCCTCCTCCTTTTTTTTCCCCAAAGCCCCAGTAGATAGTTGTATGTCATAGTTGCACATCCTTCTAGTTGCTGTACGGGGAACGAGGCCTCAGCGTGGCCGGAGAAGCGGTGCAGTGGTGCACGCCCGGGATCCGGACCCGGGCCGCCAGTAGTGGAGCGCGTGCACTTAACCGCTAAGCCACAGGGCCGGCCCAGGGGTTGATCTTTTTAAAAGTTAAACCGGATCATGTTACTCTGTGCTTGAAATGCCCAGTGGTTTCCCATTTTACCATTTTACTTAATGCGGAGCCCAGTAGCATAGCAAGCCCTCTGAAACACTCCCTGGCTGCTTCTCCGCATCATTCATGGGCATTCTCATGGCTCTGACACACCGAATGTGCTTCTGCCTCAGGGCCGTTGCCCTTGCTCTTTGCCTAGAGGTCACTGTCACCTCTGGCTCATGTCCTTCAGGCTTCAGGTCAGATGTCTCCTCTCCCTCTGGCCTTCCTGCCTGTCTCTCAGTCCCCTCACTCTGCTTTACAGCACGTGCTGCTCTTTGGCTGTGCTGTGTGCCGATTCACATGTGTGCTGTGGGTCCTCCAGCCAGACCATAAGCACCACAAGGCAGGTACCCTTTGGTCACACTCTCTGCTCTCTTCTTGAGTCCGTTTCTGGCACCTACTAGATACTCAGTACACATCTTCTGGATGAAAGAACAATCCTTTGTAAAACCCGGGTCTGGGTGTGTCTCTTCTACGTCTCTGCCTTCACTCCTTGACGTAAAGAGCAGCGACACTGCCTACCTCGTGAGCATCTTCTGGTGCTGCTTTTCCCCAGTCACACGGGTCTTGCACGTTGGCTTCCTTTTGGTCCTCCTTCTTTCACACAAGCTGATGGGACATGGCTGCTCATTTTGCTCACTGCTGTCTGTCCAGCCCCAGCCTGTGCGTGGTATACAATGAATGCCTACTGAACACTTGGAATGGACAGAAGGCCCAGTGCAACCTGGCCTCTGCTCTGGAGTCTTTTCTGACTGTCCCAGTACTCAGTGACTTCTTTCCTTCTCAGAACCGTGTGGTCCTTACCATTTCTACTTGCACAGGGCCTGGCATTGCCCATCTTTTTATCAAGGTGCCTGTGTCTACATAGTAGGGACACAATTGAGACATATCAGTGTGATGCTACAAGCTCATCCTCTTTCTGTCTGCAGGCCTGAGTTCCCCACACATGGTGGACACTCGGTGTTGGTGAAAAGTAAGTGAACCTTCCCAGTAGCCTTGTGTACGTTTGTTAACAGCATATAGCACATACTTGGAACACCATCAACAACATTATCACAAGGAAGCTTCTGAAAGCCAGGTAGACTGGTGGATGTCCTGGATTGTGTGTGCTAAGCGCAAAGCCAGGGCACAGAGCACCAGGACACAGGCGCTCGGGGCAACACACTTCACAGTCACTTTGTCAACACTGATTTGGAAACATTGGTTGTACTTGACCATCGGCTCTTTCTTTCAATTGACTGTGCGTTTATTTTTTTTGCTGAGGAAGATTCGCCTTGAGCTAATATCTGCTGCCAATCTTCCTCTTTTTTTTCTTTTTTGGTATGGGTGCCGCCACCACCGCATGGCCACCGAGAGACTAGCGGTGCAAGTCTACGCTGGGAACTGAACCCTGGGCGGCGGAAGCGGAGCACACTGCGCTCAACCACTAGGCCATGGGGGCTGGCCCTTGATCGATTGTTTTGTTTTTTAATGAGAGGTTTCCCCACTTACCATTTCCATACCTGTGTCAACACCACCTCAAATCTCTCCAATATATAAATGACTATTTAATGAGACTTTTTTTTCTGTCTAGGACATGCTGCCAAACTTACGGTTCAAAGCAGTTTGAACCTTAGGAATTTGTACTGTAATTGCAAACACATCTATGGCAAATAAAACATGTAAATGTACATTCAGAGGGACACATTAATTTCCACTTCTTTAGAGTGGTTTTTACACAGACAACGAGTACAGGCCGCACGGGCGAACCCACGTGGCTCCCGCCTGGGCTCCGTTTGTCCGGCCTCCTCTCACGTCCGCACAGCGCTCCACTCATCCGGCGCTTCAGCCGCACGTGCTCTCTGCCTCCGTGCTTCCCTAGTGACCGCCAGGCCCGAACACCCTCCCCTCCTCTCCCCTAGCTCCGTGCCCCCTCCTCCCTTCCCCGCTGCCTCCCTCTCCCAACTCCGGCCCACCACGCGCGTGCGCGTCCAGGGAGGCCGCGCGCTCTCGCGATAGTCAGGCTCCGGGATCACCGACACCCTGACTCGGGGTCTCCCAATGACTTAGCTGAGGTGCGGCGCGCACAGCGTGCGGCTGTTGGCTGAGGAATCGGAGACACTATCTACGAGTAACAGGGGCAGGTCCAGCTCTGTCCGAGGCTGTGCGGGATCTGCGTGCCCGTCCCACCCGCCGGCCCAGCCGCCCCGCGGTAACCGAGGTCGCGGCGCCCCCAACCCGCCCCGCTCGGCTCGGCGGCTCGCGCGCTCCGTTCCGGGTTTTACGGGCTGCACGGCGCC